CTTAGATTTTAGTGTGCCATATTTTGATGACATTCTTGTAGCTTTGAGAAATGAAAATGAGCACATGAACACCTTCATTTAGTCCTATAGTATAGTCGTCAATCCATCAAAATGTGTTTTCGGAAAATTCCAAGTGTCATTCCTTGGTCATGAGGTTTCCTCGGAGGGTGTTTCAACCACTTTGGTAGAGTTACTGCAATTCAAAATTTTCCAGAACCCCCAAAACTGTCCAGGAGTTGCGCCTTTTTCTGGCCATGTTGAATTTTTATCGTCACTTCCCGCTCATGCTACTGCAAAGCAGACACCTTTGTGTACATATTTAATCGGCAGCAAAAAGATACGCGGCCAGTTATTTGGTCTGCTGAATCTTGCACAGCCTTTGTACAATGTAAGGAGGACCTAGTGTCGGCAACAGCTCTTAGCTACCTTTCTAAGCATCTGTTAGCATTAATGGGCTTGGGTGCTGTTTTGCAACGGCTTATGTGAAGGACCTATGTTTTTCCAGTGGTAAATTGGTCTACGGTGTCAATTTACATTTACCTGGGAGATTTCATACACCCTCCAAAAAATCAATCAATGTTGATCCTCGTGTTTCTCAGACAATTGCATGAAACCATGGCTGCATTAGCTCCTACACCCACAAGTGTATATTCTTCAAGACCTGTGTTTATTCCCAAAGAGCTCGCTAAATCATCACATTTGTGTTTAAAATGTGATGTGGCCCACATCTGGTTCTAGGTCGCACATCCAAAACCTATCGGTAACAAAGAGACAGTGGTGAGCATTAATCGTCTTAAAAACTGGCTTTTATTTTTGCACCAGAAACTGTCAAGACTAATACTTCAGTCACATCCCCTTCGAAGGCACCCACACCTTCACCCCATGTGTCTTTACCTCCAGTCACCACTGCATCATCACATGTGCCTGGATTACAGAAGCAGTGTTCCTCAGCATACGTGTTCTGGACATAGGGTCAGATTTAATCCTTGGTACCTTTAATTTCATTGACACTGGAGGAGGAGTACTGTGGTGATACTAAGAGAACTTGTTTTTGTTACTTGCCAACTGCATGCCCGAATCTCTAGCTGTAAATGAAACAAAAATTTTTGGGACGTGCTAAAATCACTTCATGCTCTGTTGCTGTCATTCTCGTCGCATTTTTTCCTCAGATGCAAATGTCTTTCGGGCTAATGTAATGAGTAGTTATGTGGTAATTGTTGTAATTAAATGTTTATTATTTAAAATCAACCATCTCTATATGAGTTAATCCATTATACAGTGGAGCCTAGCCAGGCCTCTACAGATATTAATTGTCGCAGTCAGCGCACCACGAGAATATAAACACAATCTGTATGTTTCTAATATTTATGTTTTGTCATTTCCCTGAGCGTGTCCTTTAATTGCCATTTCCTGATATGTGATGATTAATGTCCTTTTGTCTTTTAGCTTTTTGAGGTTCTGTCGGAACGTTTTTAATACTGTGGAACCTCGAGATACAAGGAAAATATGAGCAATAAATTTGTCTGTACAAGCATTGACTTGATTAAAGAGCCAGGTTGTTAGTATGTGCGGCGCGTTTTCCGATCCGCCTCGACTCCGAGAATACCCTCGTCAGATCACTTAGTGTTCTTTGATCTACATGTTGTACTTGTGAGTGGTTTTTTTACATTTAACATGAAAATAATTATTTTGGGATGCCTCCCAAGAAGATTGTTGGTTCATATAGTGCTGAAAAAAAAAGGGGGAAGCCATCAGCATTGAAAGTAAGAAAGGAACAGTAGATAAACATAAGCAGGGTCTAAGAATGACGGAATTGGCGAAGACTTACGGCCATTCGACATAGATCTGCTTTTTTTTTTTTTAAGAAGAAATTAAGAAACTTGATCTGGCCAATGGAGTTACCATTACATCTGAGCACCGTTCAAAACTCCTAGAAAATGTTGAGAAGCTATTGTTGGTGTGGATTAACAAGAAGCAGTTTAAAAGGCGATTTGGTGTCGGAAGCTATCATTTGTGCTAAGGCTAAGAAGCTGTACTTGGACCTTCTATGAAAAACACCAGGTATATTTATGGTGTAAGTACAAAGTATTATTTATAATGAAAATGTATTTATATGTTGATATTTTTGGTGGTGCAGAATGGATTAACTGGATTTCCATTATTTTCAATGGGGAAGTTTGTTTCTAGATACAAGAAATTTGCTGTATGAGCTCAATGCTGGAGCGAATTAAACTCGTATCTCGAGGTTCCACTGTGTATGTGTTACATATATATTTTTGGCTGTGTGCTAGTACTAGTTTCAAACTCAACTGGAATATAATAACTGCTGAAATATTTACCAGTTTTTTTCTGTTTTCTTAATAAGCACTGTATTGCAATCCACTGCCCTCTGAATTTATGCTATATTGAAAATAAACACTGTATTAAAACAATTACATAGCAGAAATGTGTTCCCAGGGTATATAAAATTGCTTTGGGGGCTGGACTGCAGCTAGGAAGCGACATTGGGATTGTCATTCTCAAATGCCATAGAGCACTGGTCTCAAACTTGCTGCCTTCAAAGCAGTTTTATGCATCGTGAAACAATACAATTATCAACCTCTTTTTTTTTTTTTTTTTTTTTTTTTTTTTTTTTTTTTTTTTTTTTTTTTTTTTTTTACTACTCCAAAGGGGCTTTGAATCCTGAAGGACTATTGTTTTTCATTTTGCGTTGGTTCACTATAAATGTCCGGTTCACTTTTCAAACTGTTGCCACCAAATGTTAGAGTCCTGCATTATATTTGAAGAAATTAAATAATGAAAAATCTGCATAAATGTATGTATATTTCTCACATTGTGATAAAACAACGGTACATAGAGCCATCGAATTTTGAATGACGTAATCCTCCAACGAATATGAGCATGTGGAAGACCAAATTTGAAATTTGAAATTTGTTTTAATGATCGATTTCCTATTTTTTAAAACTTTGAACGAATTTTTGATTAACAAACTCAAGGATTTCAAAGCGAGCAATGGCAACGTTGTGCAGAAAAAACATTTTTATCTCCAGCACGCGTGAGTCTCTGTATCGGAAATTCTAAAGATATGCTCGTTTTAAAACTATTTTTGCGATATTGCTGTTGCACTGGATCTTATGGTTTAAGTGCGAAAACATGATATTTAATAAAGAAAGGTAACATACAAAATGTTTAAAAAAAAATTTAAAATCTGAAACCTTTCAGTTTTTTTTTTTTTTTTTTTTAAATGCATTGGTTTTATATTTAGAGATGCAAAGATATGGGCTGAGTTTATGTGCACTGGCTATTCCTGAAGGGAAAAGGATAGGATAAATTAGATTGAGAATTTGTCACTGTATACTTGTACCAGTCCACGTGTCTTGGGTAAGGAGGAAGAATTTCTGATATCTTCAGTAAATCAATAAATTTAGTTTGCAAGTCGACAGCTGATAGCTATTCAATATTCTAAAATTTCTGGTTTACTGGTTAAACAAAGTTATTTAGTGGTTAATTCAGCCTATAGGAATTACCCTAAATAAATGTCAATCTAAAATTTGATATTTTGATTAATTGTCAATACTTTTAAACTGCAAATTATAACCAATAGAAATTTCTTTCAGATACCGACCTTTAGACTTCAAATAAAAAATAAATATAAATTGGAATTTTACCTTTGTGTTGTTGTTATCATTATTTTTTATGTATGTTTGGTTAAATATTCAATAAGAGAAACTTAAAATCTATTTATTAATCCAAATGGGCTATTAGTCTCAAAAAAGGATTTTGTGTTTAATCTTTCTAAAAGGTTGTATCACTTTTCACATTGTTGCCACCAAATATTGTTGCACTGCATTATTTTTAACGTATTTTGTAAAAGTTTAATGAATTTTTGATTAACAAACTGAACAATTTGACGCTGTGTAAGGGATAACAGATGTTTGTAAAAGATTTTTATCTCCAGTGCATGGGACTGTATATTAGAAATTCTAAGGAAATGTTGTTTTTTAATATTTTGTGATTTTGTTGTTGAATTTTATGTAAGGTGATGACAAAAAACATGATATTTCACAAATAAAGCTAACACATATAATTAATTAATAAAAAGACCTCCCCCCAATTTTTTTTCGGGGGGGGGGCAAGCCATCTTACTAAGAAAACTGAACGTTGATATGATAAGCTGAGAAAAGACTGAAAAAATAGAAAAATGTATGCCAACTGCTACTTTAAAATATTTGCAATTTTGTTATTCAGTTGTACATGGCATAAGTGCAAAGAAAATTATACTTAATAATAAAGCTAAAAAGACGAGAAATGGGTTAGCAGGAGTGAGTGCAACGTAGACTGGTATTCTGCAAGACCATTGGGAGCATAAGAAATCGTAGCAAATCCTTTTGGGCAATCGTTAAAATCTGAACCCTTTCTGATTTTTTTATGTTTATTTATTTATTTATTTATTTAATTTATTTTTTAACTTCATTAAAAAATTATCTGACCTGTCAGCTGCTTTCAAATTGAGCATTCAGCCCACATGTACTTTGAGATCACTGCCATAGAGAATGGAAATACAACTTCTGTATTTCTTCTTTTAAGGTGCTAGTTTTCAATTTCTTACCATCTGGGATATATTTAGCAAATAGAATTAACACTGTATGATAGGGAATTGAATTTTTAATAAATATTTATCCCATTGATTTATATAATGAGAGATAATATTCACACTACATGTGTGCTGTTTCAGTTCTTACTAGATAAAATGCATTTTAATCATTTCAGGTAAATAATTAAATAAAAATTAATGTGAATGCATAAATTATCTTTAATTATAATATATTGAATGAATATGTTTGAGTAAGATATTTATATGTAATATTGATTTTAGCCAAAATTATTAGTTTTCTTACATTCTGTTTTTAATGATAATTTTTAATGTGCTCAGATTAATTATCTTATATATGTATTTAGGAATGTTGTGGATTTAACTGTCCTTATTTTTTTAAAATTAGATTGATGTTACTGTATTCAACATGTCATTGTATTACTCGAGAAGCATTCCGTCGTTCCTGTTTATCAAAGTTTAATTCAAGAACTGTACAAAACAAATTTAACCTTCTTTGGTTAACGTAAGTGAATATTTCTATGATTACTTTTTATTGGTGTAAAGTAGTATATTCCTTCAACAATGTTACATTGCTAAGATTCTGTGTATATGTGTGTGTGTGTATGTAAGATAAAAAATATGTACAGCAGATTTACTGTTCCCTTGACATTCTAATTTAATTATTCTAATTTCCTTTCTCCATGATGTTTTTCATAACACTGAATGATGTTGCTAATTTGGATCTTGAAATCAAAATTTGCAAATCAAAATCTTCTGCTTTTGAACTAGGCCTCCATGTTGGATGATGCACTTGCTTCTAGCTGCTCGTACCAATAAGATGCTGTTGTGCTGCTCTCTTCTTGATGCAACAGTATCAGAAATGTAGATGTTATGTTTTGGAACAGACATGATTAGTTATAATCTTGAACATACTTGAAAGTATTGTTCATGAATTTAAATATGAGACATTTTCATTACTCAATTTCTAAATATTTTTAAAAGGGATTGTGTGATAGTTTGAACACCCATTTATGAGGAAGTAGCAGTCATTGGTAAATTAGGTTTTTTTTGGGGGGGGAATACATTATCTAGGGAGGAAGGTAACCAGTGTTTGTTGCCAAAAAAATATTAATCTGAGTTGAGAGTTACGCTGCCATAAATCTATGATTTGATAGAAGATGCACTTAAAACTCATACTGTTGGTTTACAGGTTTCAGCTGAAAGCTTGCTGAGGAATTTAGTGCAGCTGTATTATCACTTCATGACAAATTTCATCAAACATTTCATGAAAAGTGTGATGACTTCATGGTTTAATAAGGCACCATTTAGCAAGACGAAACAAACATTTATTAAATATATAATTCAAAGCATAATATAATAGTTACTCAGAGCAGTACGTCGCTCCTACCCGCATAGTACAATCTACTACCTTCCTCTTCCGAGGCTAACATGCAACTCCTAATAAATACATTAACCCTTCTCAAAGAAGAGCTACCTGCGCCAAGCATGCTCTGTTGATCGCCAAACAGTCGCCAGATATCACACCCACCCCGTCGTAAGATTGATGTTGATATTATTTACAAATCAATCAGCAATCTGGAAACTAAAATCTAGCAACTGTTTGCGATCAACGTGAAAAAGAAAAAAAAACTACATATACTTTTATACATTCTATCCTAATTTTCAAATCTCAATTACTATAGACATACCTCAATTTACTACATAAACATAGATAACACATTTTATATATAAACATAGATAAATCATTTTAACTTCACTTGTTCCGAACCTTATTATTATTGTAACAATTTATCAATTCCTTAATTCAAAGAAACCAAGTTTGATATTTTCTTTTATAAACATGTTAAAATATACCCTAGTATTATTCCAATGATGACAGTAAAATTATTAAGTTTCTTATATATATATAAAATTATTATATTCTTAACATTCCTTTTAATTAATGATGCTGCAGCATGATTTAAATCCTTGGGAGACAAATATCTAAATTTACCACTTACCTCGAATATTTGTTATCCAATAATTTCTCTATCTATTTCAAATTACATAAACATCTTATTGCACAAAATTGTAAAATGATTATAAAAGCAAAGAAAACTATCTAATATTAACTATACAAAATGTTCGTGAAGATGAACAGTAAATTAATGTTCAAAGTTCACAAGTGGGAAGTCTGGATAATGCATCCGCTTTTTTTTTTGACAGTTTTTTTCCAGGGCAATGTTCTATTTCGAGATTATATTTCTGCAAAGCTATGGCCCATCGTTGTAATATGGACGATTGCGGAGCATTTCTCACTATAAAGGCTAGAGGATTATGATCAGTCACAATTTTTTCACCGATGAACCGAATATCCAAGGTTCAAACTTCTTCAATGCCCATACTATAGCATAAGCTTCTCGCTCTATTGTCGGCCAGCTCTGTTGAGGTTTCGATAATTTCTTGCTGCGTAGCAGATGGGAAATTGCTTCTCTCCCCTTTGCTGTGACAAACACGCACCTATTCCTGATTTGGGATGCATCAGAATGAATGACAAACGGATCCTGCAGTGTTGGGGGTGATCAGCTCCGTTGACATCGCTAATCGTTCCTTCAGTTGTTGAAATGTTGACTCATGAATTTCTTTCCTATTCGAGTATTTCTGGTTGTTTATTTTTCGTGAAGTTCTGTGACTGTGGGTAGGCGATTCTCTGCCTACCCTGGGATATAATCGCAATAATAATTACATAAGTCCTAACAGACTTTTAAGATCTCTTTTCATTTTCGGCGTTTCCAGCTTCTTGATTGCCTCTATTTTCTCGGGATCTGGTTGATGTTTTCCTGATCCAATGATGTGTCCTAAATATTTAATTTGAGGTTTTGCAAACGAACATTTCTTCGAATTGATAGTAAATCCAAGTGACTCTAGTTTGGTAAAAACTTTATCCAGATGCCGGAGATGAGTGTCAAAATCCGTGGAAAATATAGCTATGTCCATCAATATAGGCTCTTGAAAATTGTTGAAATTCTTTCAGCGCGTTATTCATTACTCTCTGAAAAGTTGCTGCTGCGTTTCGTTAATCCAAAGGTAGCACTTTAAACTGATATTGACCTCGATGAGTTTTGAACGATGTGTACTCTTACTTTGTTCCTCATGGGAATTGCCCAATATCCTTTCAGCAAATCTAAAGTTGTTATGACGTTGGCTCTTCCTATACTGTACATTAAATCAATGGCATTTGTGCATAGGAAAGTCACCTGGCTTCGTCACTGCATTCAAAACTCGATAATCTAAGCACAATCTGATATCTCCATTTTTTTTGCTTACACAAACTACTGGATGAGCTATTTCTGCATTACTTTCTTCTATTAGTCCGATTTCAATAATTCTTCTACTTCTCTTCTTCATCGACCTTGGGTTTCAATGCTTCAGGAATCCTATAAATGTAAGGTTTCTCTCCTCTCCATATTGGGTATTAATCTAATTTTATGAGCTTCAAACTTTAGCTATTTTCAGCTTTCCTTTCCGGTGAATAGTGCTCGGTGTTTGTTGATAAGAGCTATCAATTTTCTTCTCTGCTGCGGATTCAAATTTTCTAAATTCAGATTTGCATCTATTTTAAAATCTTCCAGGGGGGGGTCGAGAGATCTTTTCCTGGTAAGTTATAATTTTTCTCCAAATTCTTCTTCATTTTCAATATCACCCAACTCACCAACTGCATTGACACTAGCTTGGAATTTTCTTTTATATTTGCATGAACATGTTTGATCTTTCCATCAGGTAGTTTTACTTTATAGGAATGAGGTGGGCAATGATTCACGATTTCTTTCTCCTGGACCAGTCCATCATGCCATAGAGTTTGTTATTGAATCTGGTATGAATAAATAAACTTGTTCTCTCCGATTTTGAAATTTTTTGGTATTGATCTCCGATTAAAGTACTCAGCATATTTTTGTGTTTATCACTTGCAATTAAATTGGCTTGTTCGGCTGCTTGTTCTAACCTTATTTTTTAAAGTTGTAAGTAATCCACTGCCGATTCACTTAGATTAGGTGCTATAGGTATTTCTCCTGACCATGAAGACTTCAGTACTGCTAAAGGACCTCTTGGTGTCTTCCATACATCAGCTGAAATGGTGAGACACCTGTGGTGCAGTTTGGTACTTCTCTGTATGCAAAGAGCAGGTATGGGATGTGCTTATCCCAATTCGAAGGATCAGTCCTGATGACATGATGTAACATTTGCTTGAAGGACTTGTTCCATCTTTCTACTAATCCATTTGAAGCACTGTAAGCAGGTGTAGAGAACCTAGGGTGAGAACCTAGTCTTTTCTGGAATTCTTTAGTTAATTTTGAAACGAAGTTACTTCCGTTGTTCACTAGCTATTGTATTAGGGATTCCTGTTCTCATGAAAATCTCCAAAAGCGCGTCGCAAGTGGCTTTTGCTGTCAAGCTTCTCAGTGGAATGGCTTTTGGCCATCGGGAATGTTGATCTACTAGACATAACACATATTTATGTCTCCTAGCAGAGGAAGGTTCAATAGGTCCAATAATGTCGATGTTAACTGTTTCGAAAGGTAATCCTGGCCTTCTGACGGGTGTGATGGGAATCTTGTCAGATCGCTTTTCATGGACTTTTCAACTGACAATCTTTGCACGTTTTACAAAAGGTTTTCAACATCTTGTGCTAATCCAGGCCAATAAAATGAATATCGTATTCGCTCCTTTGTTTTTCTTATCCAAGATGTGCACCGAAAAATGGAACTATGTGCTAATTCCAACACTTGTGCTCTTCTACTAAGTGGAAGCACTAACTGAAAAACATTCTGTCCTAATATTTTTTCTTGTGATGTAAAAGATGATCAATAATAAATAATTTTTTCCTTTTTTTTCTATTGCTAGCTTCCATGCTTCTCTCAGCGAGGGACAGTTAACTTGCTCTTCGCGTAGGCGTTCAGCAGACGATAAGTCTGTGTTTTACATAAACACTCGCCTTCTTCCCTTCCTCCTCTTCGTTTTTCTCCTCCATAAGCATTAGCGGGGGGGGGGGGGGATCGACGCTGTCGTTTGACTGTGCATTGGTGAAAAAGTTTGTAAGTTTTCGCTTCCGTAATTATTTCTTTCTGCGTTTGGTTCTTCTGCCGCAGGATTAATCAACAGTTTTTGTATATTTCTGGAGTTATTAGGCAAGGCACATTTAGCTTATCAGTCACTGCAATTAATGTATCCACAAAATTAAATATATTGCTCCATGATCTTTATGGTAAATAGGTACACGGCAAACTTTTGCTTCAATTGGTTGTCCGAAAGCAGGTGTTAGCAATATTTTACCTCCTTCTCTCTCCTCTAAATTTGGAATGAGCGATGAATGTACAATCGTTATCTGCGTTCCAGAGTCTACGATAGCTTCGATTTCTCAGAGTTAATAAAAATATCTACTTTTTGCAGTGGTTGAACGATGCGTTCTGCGAATTCAGATCGTAGATGGGATGAGTCTACTTTAGCTTATAGCTACGTGGCTTCTTCTTTTGATGTTCTGTTTGAATTTTTTTGAGTTTTGGAATCATCCTTTCCCTTCTTATTTACTGCAGTTTCGTTCTTTCTTCTTTTTTGTCTGGACAATCTCTCGCGATGTGTTTGATAATTTCCACAAATATAACATTCTTTTCTTCTCGCGTGAAATCTTTCGTGTTTTGGATATTCTTTTCTCATGGGTGGTGGATATATTTGTCGTTGTGCACATGGTTGTATCCAGGAATCTTGGTGATCGCTTAATTCCATTTCGAACTTCGTCGAAAGATTTTCCTTTGGCCGTGAAATAAATATCACATTCTGTAGCTAATTCTTGAGGCTTCAGCCATTTATTTCCTTGGCGTATTGCGACGTGTGCAGCTGTTTCTTCATCTAATGCTTGGAATAATTTATCGGAAATAATTAACTCCTTGAGTGTTTCGAAATCCTTTACTTTTCTCTTGACTTGCAGTAATAGTCCCATGTAGCTGTTAGTCTTGAAGCGAACTGGATATGCGTTTCGCCGGAAATAACGTTTAGTTTTTTCTGAAGTTTCTAACCAGGTTTGGAGTAGGTTGATATTCCTTCAGAACAAGAGTTTTCACTTTTTCGTAATTTTGCAGATCTTCCTCCTTTATATAAACAAGAACATTTGAAGCTTTTTCTCCAATTAATTTCAATAATATTTCCTGATTTGTATTCTTCAGGAACCTTCTTGTGCTTTAAATGCTCTTTCGATAGAATCGAAAAATATATTCCATTCTTCTGCTCTCTTCGGTACTGGTATAGTCAGTGTTTCTACTCCTTTGATCAGGCTTGTCCAGGGAAATTTTCGGTTTCTCGTTCTGTGTTTTGGTATTAAAGGTGTTGGACTTCTTACTTCCTTCATTTTGAGTTGCTCGAATCTTTCGCTAGTTCTATTTCGTGTTCTCTTTCTGTTCTTAATCTTTCTTCTTCTTCCATTTGCATTCTTTCCATTTCTTCTTTTCTTTTTTTTCTATTCTCCACTGTAGTAATCAGAATTTCTTTCACGAAATCAGCATCTTCGATGTATTCCTTGCTATTCTGGAGTTTGTGTTTCAGTTCTACCAGCTTTCAAATCTGGGGATGCTTCTTCGCCAATTTCCAATAGAACTGTTACTAAATCCTCTTTCTTTGCGTTTTTGAACATTTTCTTCTATTTTCCTTTAGAATCAAGCCTTTCAAACTCTCGATTAAATAATTCTCACGTTTTTACTCTCTTTTTTGCAAATGAACACTTCTTTCGTTAGTTAGGCTTAACTTTACGCCTCTTCCGTTTTCAACGCTCTAAGCTTCTAACCTCTCTGGTTTTCTCGTAAGAGAGCGTGTTTGTGATGACTTCATGGTTAATAAGGCACCATTTAGCAAGACGAAACAAACATTTATTAAATATATAATTCAAAGCATAATATAATAGTTACTCAGAGCAGTACGTCGCTCCTACCGCATAGTACAATCTACTACCTTCCTCTTCCGAGGCTAACATGCAACTCCTAATAAATACATTAACCCTTCTCGAAGAAGAGCTACCTGCGCCAAGCATGCTCTGTTGATCGCCAAACAGTCGCCAGATATCACAAAAAGGAAGATTTTTTACTCCGTTCAAGTTAACAAAGAATTGAGGATAAAAAAAGTGTTTTGAATACCATATCATTATTAAAAAGATTAATTTCAAAATTCTTAGATTCATTGAGACTTGATGTTTGAAATATGACCCAGAACCAAGCATGGGGAGCATTATGAAAATTTGTGAGCTGGCAGAAAACCAGATTGCATTTTCAGAAGTTGCTAATCAAAAATGAATGTGATGTATTTTGTAACTTACCCTCTAAGAGCATTGGGTAAATAAGTATTATAGGGATAAAATAAGCTTTAATAAATAATTCTTTGTTAAAGCAGCCACTGTTTAAGCCTCTGGCAACATTTTAAATTACACATTACAGTTTGAGCAATTAAGATTGCCAGTTTTGTTGAATAAATGTGATAGCCCCTTTAACAAAGAAATACCATTTAATATCTAAAAGTTGTGTTCTTTGTTCAGTACTTCTGTAAATATTTTAGTACATTAATGCTGTTCATAAATTTTGATAAGGTATCTTCTAAATTATGATTAATTCTTATTTATCTTTTTAGGTTGCCAACTTGTGTGTTGTGTTCAATAGTGCTAGGCTACATATGGCTATATCTACTGGATAAGCCAGACCCTGTTGTTGTTCCCAACTATACAGCCGGAGTGAATATTGTACTAGTTTCTGTGTTCATTGAAACATTATCTGAACCTCTTTTTGTTTTTAGTCAGAGCTTTCATTTTGTGAAGTTGAAGGTAATTTTATGATTATATTGTGTGTAATGCATTGTCATAAACATAATTTCATTATCATGTGGGAAATTTTAGGGAAAAAATTGTGGATGGTGTTTGTGGGCTGTCTGTAAATGTAAATAAGAATCCATTTGGCACCGAAAATGGTGGCAAATATTCTGTTAAATATTTACTTCCCTGTTGCAATAATGTTCTTAGCCGTCAGTGTATAATATAGAAGAATAATAATTTATTATTTGCTTTGATGATTCAGCTGTCTGTGTTATGGATAATAAATGTTTGTTTCTGTGTCTGTGTTATGGATAAGATAACAAGGCTACTGACCCAAAGATAAAAAATATAAGAAAAGATGATAAGTTTGAGAGTCAGTACATAGAAGCAAGAACATGCTTGGTGACCTCAGTCTTGCTCTGCATTACAGCTTCATTGTAGGTGATAACTGACTGTGTCCATCAAAAATTTAGATAGAAGAGATAGACCAGAGAAGATCAGCTGAACAGTTGTTACAGTTACATAGCGACAACTAAGTAATCAATATACAAAAGTCTCTGATATAGTTATTTTGGCATAACTTTTGAAGCCAAACAACTCACAGTACTCCTATTTGTTATTATATTTCTAGCTATATAATTATCAAAATGCTTAATACTATAAACTTTCTAATATTTTAATCTAAATTAGTATTCAAATATTCAATTTAAATCAGGATTCAGAATTTATTGTTATTCAATAAAAGTTGTTGAATTTTTATTTTTGCTAACATCAAATATTTCAAGAATTATCAAATGCTGAGAATTTGTATTTTGTACTAGAGTGAATGAAATAATTATAAAATACTCATTTATTAAATATACATAATTTCGTACATTAAATGTATGGTATTTAAATACATTACATTAAATATATATTATTTAAATACATCACACTAAATATACATTATTTCTTATAGAAAAGTGTGTTTTACCCATTAGACAGAATTGTTGCCATATTATAATGCTTCTTATTCATATTTCAGGTAATCATTGAAGGTGTTATGCTATCTGCCAAGAGCATTGCCATGGTCATATTTTTGAGTAAATGGCCCGATCATGCTATGTTCTCATTTTGCTTAAGTCAGGTGATTAGTGATATCTAATTTTTATTAATTTTAAAGCTCTCTTTTAAAAAGATAGATTAAAAATTAAAAAGTCATCGCAAAAAATAATTGTTAATTGGTAATTTAGATTTAATAATGCATGATAGAATATTTTCCTTCAATCATATGATGGTTAATTATTTAAAGGGTTTTAATAACCTTTTTGAGAATCAAAATAAGCCAAAAAATACTATTGAGCATTTTATTCTAAAATGCTGTCATAGCCATTGATTTAATGCATAAAGTTTAAGATAATGTATGAATCTTTTTATATTAGAGCACAGCATGTTATTATAAATAATATAATAATTCATTAAATTATAATAAATAAACAATAAAATATTTCTAAACATAATAAATCTGTCTTAAATTAGTTATTTCAATAAACAAAGATCTAAACTAAATGACAAAAATATTTTTTATTGACAATATTTACTTTGGAAACAACAAAACTGTTTTAAAAGCTACGAGCAATACTTTTAATTTAAAGGGGCTTAAGAGGCAATATTGTTGGCTGAAATATGTTCATATGGGTTTATGGCTGCACATGAAATTACACAAATGAAAGAATCATATAAAGTATAAGGCTTCGGAAGTATGAAGTTATAGCATACACCTGTCCATAAAAAATTGCTGTGCTGTATCATATAATAATAATGAACATAAAATGTCTTCCAAACTTGATAATGGTTGAGTAAGTTTATCTTTTGAGTTAGTAATGGGAAATTAAATACCTTTTGGTAATTTGCATAAATAACTTGTCTTCTTGAACACTGGTGGTTCAATCCAAGTTCAAATCCACTAAATGGGCTAGCTGCTTGGAAGTTTTTATAGATTTGCCCACATATAATGCAGATAGGAGCCAGCTGTTCTTAAAAAGGTCTCCCATGAAGACATCCTTGTTAATAGACAGGATCTCACATGCTTTACATAATATAAATAACCCATTCTAATGGTTATTTTGTATTTTATCTTAGCCTTTTACTTCTTGGACAGCACACAAGTTGCCAAGTTGTAAAACTGATAATTACTATTAGACCATCCTGATATATATATTTGCAGCTGAATGGCTTAAATATGAGCCAGGTTTTCTTCAGTAATCCTTCAGTGTCATAATTAATTAACCCTGTCTAATTCAATATTTTGACCTACCACTGCCTTTGAGCTGTTATGATTAACAAAGTTTAGCTGAATCCCATATTTTGGATTTGGATTCAGGTCCAAAGCACATATGCTTAACCTTTTAAGATCAGGGATTTGGCACCTACAAGATCCTTAATGAGACTGGGTCTTTTGTACCTTATGCTTTCTTCCTTTCTTACCTTATGCTTTTTTAGTCCGCTGCTGTTTTCAACAATGGCTCTTTTAGGTAGTTTATTCACCGTTAAAGAAGTGTATTTACTTAAAAGGAAAGGAAATGTGAGGATTGTTGTCTAAACTGCCAAATGGTTTACCTTATGGAGGGAAAATTCATATGTGTAGTTGATTCCAAATCAGACTACTCAGTGGTGCACAGAAGAGAATGTATATTTCCATTATAAATGTCATTCTGTTCTACATATTATAGCACATACCTTTCTTTAAAACAAAAAAAAAAAAAAAAAAAAAAAAAAGGGGGGAGGGTCAGAATTTTAAGTAATGAGGATTTTAATTTATCTTACCAAATTAAGTGCCCTTATATAGTGGTAACAAAGCTTAATTCCATAAAGTTACAGAATTTAACCATTATTTATTATTTTATAGATATATTTTTAGTTTTTTTTTTTTATTTATTATGTCTCAGTCCTTTTTTTTTTTTTTTTTTTTTTTTTTTTAATGCACCTGAACTTTTTTCATGCATTTCATGAACTTTGAAACATCTTGCAGATGTTGCTGTAAACACAATATACTTAACTACTGCGTATTTCCTTGTAATATTTAATATGTCTTGTGTGTATCTTATTGAAATTATTTATTCTTTAAAATTTTTTACATGGAAGGAATGGTTAAAATAAAATATTAATGCTACATAAATGATTAAGAACTTGAACTGTATGGAAATGTTAAAATTTAAAATTTTTAAGTCTTAACAGAAGTTAAAAATTTGCATGGAAAATGTAATGTTTAAGAGCAAAAACTGACAAGCATTTTAAAATATGCAGTGTTTAATTAAAATATACTTGTATTATACATTGTTGGTATATTTTGTATTGCAAATTTTTTTAAAAAAAAAAAAAATTTTAAAATCGGAAAGGCAAGATTGGGCAGTGTGTGTAGTTTTTGAAAGAATGGGAGAAGTTATGTTTCGTATACACATTACACCATAGGAAAGACCACCACGAAACACCTATGCACAAGATAATTAGTTGCTGTCTTCAATACCTAGTATTATGATTCTGTGTTTTATGATTTTACATAATTTCACATTTTACAAACTCTTATAGAAGCTTTAGTATTTCTTCAGTCAGCTTTCTTTCCTATTTTGACATAACACTATAAAATTATGCAAAATAACTTCAAGAAATCTCCCAAAAATATCGAATATTTGAAACAAACATAAGGCTTTTGTTATGATTTCCGAATGAGGTTGTCTTTGATTTCTGAAGCCGCTAGAATGAAAAGGGAATGATAGGAAACCAGATTCTTAGCATACAGACTTTTGAAAGTGATAAGTGGTTTAGTATTCCAGAGACATCAAACATTTCAGCCAGAGCCATTTCACTCTTTCGCTTCAGCTTAGAAAATAGGAGAAAAAGACATTATTAGTAGTAGAAAAGTAGACATGCTCATCCTTTCAAATAGGGAGTACAGAGGCTAATATGATAGCCATCCTGTTCCGAAAAGGTTAATGTTGCTATTTATTTGCAGTGCATGGACATGTAAATTATTGATAAGTTCTTCAGACTTGTGCACTATACTTATGCTGCACTCTGTATGCTAGAAGTGACCACCATTTTTCTTGAAGTATGTTATGCATTGCTGTGTGTTTCCAGTAATTTGATGATGTGTCTTTTACTGTGTATGCTAGAAGTGACCACCATTTTTCTTGAAGTATGTTATGCATTGCTGTGTGTTGCCAGTAATTTGATGATGTGCCTTTTAGAATACCTTACCTAGGTAGAATTCACTTAGTGATACTTTGTGTAAGGCCATGGATCATGTAATAAATATCAAGAGTCACTGAGGATTCTGAGGAATGTTTTAATAATACAATTTCCAAGAATCTGGCCAACATGGTTGCTGTATTTGAGCAGCCCTATAATTTTTTTTATTATTATTATGTTTAGGTTGCAAATATTGTTTAAGAATTCGGAATCATGAAGTTTTGATTTTTATAAAAATTGTTTCACTTTCCACTTCCTGTTTCATTGTCTTTTATTATGATTTAGCCATGCTTTAGGCAATATAAAGCCGTATTTGGGACAAAGTTAATAAATTTATGTTGTATTGCGTTTATCTTTTTAATTTTTTTTTTTTTTTAATTTTTATTTAGAGATAGATGAATGTTAATTATCCATGAGGCATCATGAAACAATTTTAACTAATTTGTTATGGTTATCCATGCATCCAGAACTAAGTCACAAACTCGCTGGCAAGTAATTTTTCATGAAGCTAGTACTTCAAATCCCACAGCTGTTTTCAAAATGGGGGAAAACTAAAAATTCCAGCAATCTGTTTTCACTTAAAAAAACTTGGTATCCATACATTTCAGCATTGAGTACCTGCCAAAACAGACATATGCTACATGTATAGCTGGGTTGCCTCATAAATATTGTTTGGTGACATCATTGGGTTGCCTCATAACTATTTTGGCAACATACTCCTTTGCTTCATAAATATTTTTTCCTGAATTTTCGTGATAGTGTTAATGTATTTGTATTGCGTTACATTCACGTTTAATACCTTCTTTAAATATTTTTGTATAAGCTGCTATTTAGTTCTGAAGCTGAAATAATTTTAGTTAAGTGTTTTAAGTTATTAATTTTCTATTCTTTTTGCAGGCATTAGGTTCAGTCATTTATACATTATCATATTATGTCTACTTTTCATGGTATCTGAGTGTGAACAAATCCATTTTACCTGTGCGACACATAAAGGATATACTTCCTAAATTCTCTAAACAGGTATGTGGATAAAATGCTTCCAACTGTTTTGTTATTTTTGAAATACTTTTAAAATGTAGATCTTTTTTTATTTCCTTGTTATAAAAATATATTTTAAGTGTAAAAATATTTAAAATTTTTTAATATAGAGTATTACAAAAGAAGGAAAACATTACAGTATATATTATGGCATTAAACAAATGTATTGCTTTGGGGGAGCTAGAAAGAAAGTAAAACCTTGTATCTCGGCCAGTGTTGCCAGAAACTTTTGATGAAAAATGTAATGTTTCATCTTTGAATTAATTTGCAGTTAATTTAAATTACTTTTCAGTTAAATTATTTATATCCATTGGTGAACGATATTTCTTGTTTGGATTGGTAACATTGTTGTACTAATTTGTTTAAGTTTTTTTTTATTATTATTATTCATTTTTTTCTTGCTTTACTTTAATTATTAATGCTTTTTCAGTCAATATTTCATTTTGATTGTTAAAAATTTATCAAATGATGATTGCTGATAAAAAAAAGTTACTTTTTTCACTGTTTAATTTATTTGTGTTGCTATTTACAACGAGACAATTTTTTCACTTTAAAATATACCTTCACATCTTAACTTCTAAAAGTTTGACTCTGTTTTGTTTACACTTTATTTATGCTAAAAAATTTCATTTTAAAATTAATCTAGTATAGTTTTAAATAGAAGTATATTATAGGACAAATACTATGAACACATTCTAAGACAGTTATCTGTTTCCAAACATACATTTTGTTTTTGCTTTCATCATTATAAAATTGTAAAGAAACTACAAAATCAAATGAAATTAGCCAAAAAAAAAACGTAAAATATTATTAATTAGAATATTTATAATGTTAATAGGTTTTATGATGACTCTTATTATAGTTAGCTTTTAATCTGTATGTTGCATTATAAAGGGACCTTAAGTCAAATTTTTTATTTTGCTGTCCTTTCGGATTCACATTGTTGTGTAATGCAAAAATCTCCTAGTTTTCATATTTCAAGGTTTGTAATGGTGTTAATGTAAGCAGCAATTTCTATCAGCAACACAATTTTAGTTTAACAGTTTTACTGCTTTTCATCTGTCATATTTGAGTAGACTAGTTTTTTTAGCAGAATTCTCTTCTAATAGGACAGAAGGTCTACCGTCCTATTGAGGCTGCCTTACCATTCCTACAAATGGAAGAAGATTGTTCTTATGTTTTTCTGGCCTTCTTTCTTTTCTGGTAGTTTGCAGGGACTTAGCTAGAGGGGGGAGAAGGAGGAACATCTGTGTCCGCATGCAGCGTCCAAGGGGCACCGAACTGATAGTGCAAATTTTTAGAAAGAAATGTTATCTATTCTTGGCAAACGAGAGGCACGAGGTCTTCAATTGTCCTCAGGCGCTGAAAATCCTAGCTTACAGCTCTAGCATTTTGCCAAGAACTACCTATCTAGATGAAGGATCTAACTGGAGACATCAACTGCAAAATGTAACTTGCAGAACTTTCTAGTATTGGAAGAGTGCATATATATTTTAGTAGTCCAACAGTTTTCGCACATAAAGTTACAATTGTTCACATATTGAATTCTTAAAAGTGAGTTACACTTTATTTTCTTTACTTTCATCTTGTGTGTATGTTGGCCTTGTAATTTTTAGAAATAGCATACTACAAGAAGTTAATTGGTCCAGTTGAGCACAAGGTGAATTTGCCATTCATGATATGTGGAGGTCACTTACAAATCCTTCCAGTACTTGTCAGAATAGAACTCTGAAATAAAATATTACTGCTTAGAGACAGAATGAAAATAGAAAAAGAGCTGAATTTTTTTCATGTGATATTTTGCAGCAGATCATCTTCGAGCTCTGGTACTGTTTGAAGATTCATAAACAGCTTAGTTCTCTGATCCTGCAATTTGAAAACATGTTTTCTAATTGTCACCCTCGTGGTAAACTTCTAGAGTATCAGTTCTGCAGAATGAAATGGCACCATTGTTGTCATCAAGTGTGAAATTTCTAATAATTTTTGATTGGTTGTAAAGGACAGATTGGACTCCTATGAATCTTGTTTTAAATATTTCAGAATATGTATAAATACAATACACATCGCTGTGTCAATAAATAATTAAGACAGTTAGCTTCTTGACCCCTTTTTCTAATCACTGTGTTGCACCAGTAACACTAAGCTAAAATATTTAATAATTTATCGGAAGATTTGAAACACTAGTATTTGTATAGTTTCTGCTACTGAGAAGTTTGATTGGCACCAAGTGACAATAATTTTCCAATAAATATCTCCTTTTTGTTGCAATAATTTTTATCTATAAAAGTACATGCTAATTTTTTTTTATATTATCTTTTATGTGTTTTGTGTTTATTGTTTTCTTTGTTTACTGTGCTGAGAAATAACAAGATAAAAAAGCTTTCAGATGAGAGCTTTTCTCAGAATCACAGACTCATACCCCAAAATTAAGAATATTGTAATTTGTATGTAATGTAATTACATATTGCTAAAGAAAACATATTGTGGAATGTCAAAAATTGCTACAAGTTGCTAACTAAGAGAATAGGAAATTGGATCATATGTTCCTTGCCTGCTGTTAAGGAATAGAGTTATTTTTTTTTTCATAACTAATGATAGACATCATTTAAACAAATGAGACCTGGTGCACATTAAAGTCCTGAAGTATAATTATTAAGCAAAATGGTACAGATCATTTCCACATGGCAAAACAAGGTATGTAAAAGGAAAAGAGGGTAAGATCTTCTTACAACTATTTTCAACAGTTATGAAAAATGCTCATTCTGCTCAAAAATATGGTTAAATATGAGTCCATCAATCTTTTTTTTTTTTTTTACATGGATGCATATGTGACATCAGTTATTCATGCTATCTACTGAACTATTGACTCATTAATCTCTCAGAGCGGTTTTGAGTTCCTGTACCTGTTTCAGGAGGATTCTGTTTTAGAGCAATAGATCTCACCAGTCCATCGAAGATTTAGGCCAAGGGAATACGCAGTCATTTCAGGTACTCAATATTTATCATGCTAGCATATCAGGCAGTTAAGTTGTCTTCTGTGGATGAACATTATTATCCATGAACAGAAAGTCAGGATTAATTGCACTGCAAAAATAGCAGGCATAACCTAAGAGAATTTTAGTGCAGTATTTGCTGGGATGTAATTGTCTAAGATGTGAAGAGGCGTTCCACCATTATGAATAATATTCACCCACACAATTTCTCTTTTTCCATAGTTTTCTGGACATTCTGGTAATGGTAGCATATTCTTCTCTTTATCTACACTAGCTGGTGTCCAGAATCATTGTTGCTGAACCTAACAAACATGTTCTTTATAGCAATGTAATCTTCCCCAACGGTGGTATGCTATAGAAGAATGCATGCAACAGGCTTAAGTGAATATTAGTTACTAGCTGAGAAATAATTCTTTAAGATATGGGATTGCCACTAGTGTTGGCCAGATTTGCAGCTGTCTGGTCAGGAATAGCATTTCTGTTCCATTTTGCAACTAAGATGACATATTTATCCTTCTGGGGTGTAGTGGTCTTTCTACAGCCTGTGGCATGTTATTGCATAGCTCTTTTATGTTCAGCAGCCTTCTTTGACCATTTTGAAAGACACTTGCCTGCCTCAAGATGTCCAACTGATCAACCATGGTAGCATGCACAAAAGTGATGTCTTATTCTACAGTTAGTATTTACTGGGGAAAGGAAATTTACAGTAATATTTTCAGAAACTAGCAATGTGATTTTTCTTTCGGTTGCTACTGCTTGAAATTAGGAAGAAGGAACAATGCAAATGCACCGCTTTTTATACAAATAGGTCTTGTCCACCAGTGCCTTCTATACCTATTTCTTCTCTGAATGCATGGCTGTCAGGAATGAAAATTTGCATAAATCATTTGTTCTTTAACAGTTGTCAAGTAGCATATTTCTAACAAGGGTATGAGTATTTACTGTTGCTAAGTAAATAAGTAATTGGGAAGATGAAAGACAACCAAAAATTCTACGAGGCGTATTCGGAAACTAAGTACCATTTTGAAAAAAAAATAGTAAAACAATTTTTTTCGAATCCAATTTTATCTTTACGTGAAAGTACATGTCTTAAACTATTTTTCAACATACTTTCCGCCAATGATCAAACACTTGTCATAGCGGGTGACCAGTTTTTGTATACCATCATCAAAGAAACTTCCCTCCAGTTTCGATAACCACAAATCCACAGCATTTTTCATGTCATCATCAGATCCAAAGCGCTTGCCACCGAGCTCGCACTTCATGTACAGGAACAAGTGATAGTTGGACGGCGCCAAGTCCGGGCTGTACGGCGAGTGATCGAACTGCTCCCAATGAAACTGTCGAATTAACGATTGAGTGACATCAGCAGTATGGGGCTGAGCATTGTCATGGAGCAACACAATTCCTTTACTGAGCATTCCTCTTCGTTTGTTTTGAATGGCATGCCTTAGTTTTGTTAAAGTCTCACAATATCATGCCGCAATTATGGTTTCACCTCTGGGAAGCAATTCAGTAAGCAAAATGCCTTTCTTATCCCAGACAACACAAACAAACATGGAAAGGTCATATGGAACAGAATAATTCAGTTTTCCAGGCTGAAGCAACTGCAATTCGCAAAGCTATCGAGTTAACAAGCCTCCCAGTAGGATCCACTATTAATATTCTTACAGACAGCCTCTCGGTCATATATGCCTTACGAAATCCCAGACATCCTTCTCCTATCATAGCGGAGATTCAGGACACGCTGAAGGAGCGTTCGTCGACAATGAATATCATCATATCTTGGGTAAAGGTGCATGCCGGCATTCAAGGTAATGAGGAAGCCGACAGGCTAGCAAAAGAAGCAGCTCACAATATCAATGCACAATGCACCAAACTCCCGTGGTCTCACCTTAAAAAAGTGACAAGGACAGCAGCTCAGCACCAGTGGCAATGGGAATGGGACTCTACCAAACAAAGCAGGAAGACCTATGAATATTACCATAAAGTTTCGCTCGATCGTCTCGAGTCATCCCCACAAATAACGAGATTTGTGACGGGGCACGGGCCTTTCCCCTCCTATTACTCTGAGAGAGGAATTGCGAATACCAAAAGTTGTGTCTGTGGAGGCATTGGTAAACCAGACCATTACTTGACCCAATGCCCTCTAACCGTACAGTGGCATGTGCAGCTTCCGGAACAGGCACTTCTCATAAGCGTTATCTGATCAAAACAGCCAGCATTTCGCATCAAAATATGCAAGATAATGCAGAAGCTGGAGGAATTGGGAACAGATTTGTGCAGCGTAGAGTAGTTCCATGTCAATCTCTCTTCTATCTTTTTTTATTTAGTTATTTATTTTTTTATTTTTATTTTTATTGTATATATTGTGAAACATATATGTATTATGGCCAATGAAAATTATTTATGGACTATGTATGTATTATGTAACAGGCTCAATATATTATGAAACATGTATGTACTATGGCCAATGAAAATTATTATGAACTATGTATGTATTATGTAACAGGCTCAATATATTATGAACTATGTAAGCAACTATGTACTGTGCAAGCTGTATATGTATGAACTATGTAAGCAAGTACTTTGAAAGAGCTATGTATTATGAACTACTGTATATAAGCATGTACTTTGAACTATGTAACTATGTAAGCATATATTATGAACTATGTAAACTAAGCATATGTTATGAACTATGTAAGCATGTATACAGGACCAATGTATGCCCTTTTAGGCCCCATGAGGTGTTGCCCTGGATAGTTGCGGAACCTGGACTAGACCCGAATAGTCTTAGTAAGCTGCACGGGTGTCCAGATTCTGCTCTCAACTTAACTCAACTATCCCAGAAGACAGTGCACATGATTTTTTGTGATGACATTGTCACTTTGAACTTTTGTTTTTCGGAGAATGAGTGTGTCTCCACTCCATTGATTGTTGTTTCGATTCTGGTGTGAAATGACACACCCAAGTTTCATCACCTGTCACAATTTGGTTTAAAAAGTTTTCTCCCTCATCACTGTACCGCGTGAGAAATGTCAGGGCACTACCAAGTCGCTTTGTTTTGTGAACAGCATTTTTGGAACCCATTGGGAACACAGTTTGCGATAATTCAAGCGGTCAGACACAATTTCGAACAAAACAGTGTGTGAAATTTGTGTAAATGCCTCTGAAAGAGTTGTCATTGTGAAGCATCTGTTCTCATGAATTGCTTCATCAACTTTCCTTACCAAATCATCGGTGACAACAGAAGGCCGTCCACTCCAAGCCTCGGCATGGACATTTGTTCGACCTGCGTTAAACATTCTTATCCATTTTCTCACCATTCCATCACTTATCGCGTATTCACCGTAAACTTCTGTCACTTGACGATAAATTTCGGCCGGTTCCTCGCGTTCAAAAAATTTAATCACGGCACGAATCTCACGTCAGCGGGAAAAATGATTGTCTTAACATTTGAATGTGCACAGCAAACTGAAAACACAAACATAGAGCAACCAAAATGGCGACATTGAAAGTCAGTGAAGAAGAAAGACTAGTGCACATGCGCTGGATGCCTACCACAGCGCTGCGACGGCGCTAGAATGAAACGGTACTTAGTTTCTGAATACGCTATGTAATACACATATTGAAAATTAGAGTCACCAGTAATCCACGTGAACATACCTAATTTGCTTTGACAGCAATCAACCTTCTCAGCAGCTGATGTGACACAAGTATCTTATATTTTATGATAATTTTTCCAGTCTGAATCGAGATAATCTTTTCCTTCCGATTTTTAGTTGGAGGAACTATTTTCTTCCTAAATTTTACCCATGTTTTAAGCCACTTTGTCTGTTCTTCTGTGAGAATTTTCACAGGCATAGTCTTGTGTATGATTAATGGTCTGGCTCTGTCTAGTAACAGTTTTATAATCACTTTACTGCACCCTGTCAAACCTATTATCGATCATTGCTCCTGTACAGGAATGTGCATGGATTCTCTCATTTTTCTGAAATATCATTGCTAATCAGATATTGCGGCAAAGTGCACATGGTGTTCTCTTATGTTATTAGAGGCAATACTTCTATATGTTTGCATTGATTATTAGTAGGCATTTTGAATTTTTTAGCACAGTTAATATCCTTGAGTTATTCCAAGGGAAATATGGAAATATGTCAGGAAAGTTTCTTAGTATTCCATTCATATACTAGAAAATACCCCAATGCTTATCTTTTTATGTTCCAGGAGTATTCCATATGCAAGAGTTATTCCTTACATGCTTCTAGAAGTGCTTCAAAAATTTAGTCTATACACAGAAAGTAAATTTATTACTTAGCCAATATCTAAAAATTATGTTTGATTTGTATACAAGAAATCACCAAGACCCACTATCTTTTTCAAGGCTTAATATGCATTTTAAAATTATACCAACTATTATTTTTTAACGATGTAGAAAAATACTCCCATTAAACATGTATGGAGCATTTCAGACACATTCTTATTTATAAGATTAGAGGACTGAAATATGCTTAAAACATTTTAGGAACATCTTAATCATAATTAACATAACCTGAAAATATTCACTGGAAGCATGCTTTAGAATATTCTGAGAATATTGTGTGATGATATGGAATGAAAATAGGAAAGCCCTGAAATAATCCAAACTTTTATGAAGCGAAAGTTTATTAACGCAGAAAAATGTTGTCATGATATAATGTTCTTAAATTTTTTATTAAAATTAATGTTGGGGATAAAGCTTTATTTAACTTTCACTAATGTGCTCATTAACAGTAGTAAGAAAGATGATCCAGTTTTTCAGTCAGATTTAAGAGATATCACATTTACTCTCATATTTTCCTTCTAGCATCTTAGTTTTTCTCAAAATGTTTTGAATATTCACAAAATTTTCTCCTTCCAGGCCTTCAGAAAGCAAGCTTCTCTAAATTTTGAAATGAATTTGCCCACATGATTGTTGTTTCCAGCTTACTAATTAATTTGCTCATGGATTTTGGGGGCTTTGATTGATGAAGCAGTTATAGTAACAAGCTTAAAAAAAACAAGGATATCTAATATTTTTAATTATTCTGAAAATCATTGCATAAGTAAAGACAGACTGAATAGTGAAGAAAACAATAATAACGGTGACTATGGCAATGACTTGTAAGCTGTAGCAGATGATGCAGGTGAGACATAATCACACACATAGACACAACATACGCAAAATCGATAGATCAAATAGACACAAAATCATGCATACTAAATCACAGGCAAAGACAGCATTTCCAGCAGCTGTGAGGGATTTAAGACCTAGGAAGTAAATAGACAATAAAAGCGGGAGAGATTCAAAATACTATGAAGTAGAAATAGAGATATCTTAATGGATATCATCATGTTACGATATGTTCTTAATGAAATGTTGCTTACTTTTAAATAAATAATATTATGATTGTTGGTGATAGTATATCCTTGAATATATTTTACTTCTTATGTTCTTACTGTAATCATACCTTTTGTAAGTTAAGTTATTCATGTAATTTTCTCCTCTCAACTTTCATGTGATAAAATTAATTAAAAATGGCAGAATATACTAGTAAATACGTTGTTATATCTGATTTATATGTCAGAAAAAAATGGCAACCCTAGGTATGAGACATTAAGTGGAAGTTGCAGTAATATTTAGATCTCCGAATGGCAGTATTTCCTCAATTTAAGTAAATATTACCTCATATTTTTTTCCTTAGGTAGCAAAAATGTTTTACTATTTTTTAATGTGGGTAGTTATGTAATTTTTATAATTCTTTTGTGACATCCTTTTAAAAATTCAAACAGATTTCTCAAATTTATGGTCATGCTTCTGTCTTATTAAAAAATCATTTAGAATAAATATATTACAATGATTATATTTGTCATAAGTATATAGTTGTACAAGAGTCGTGTGTTTGATTGAAATATTAAACTAGACTGTTATTACTTTTAACTTACTAGTGAAATTCGACTTGCCTTATTATCAGTTTATTTAAATTTAGGTATCGGTTTTATGTCTTGTTAGCTTCATTTCAAAATCTTTTGAATTTAACAAAGGACATGATAATAGATATATTAGATATGTATGATATAATAGATCTAATTTATTTTTAGCCATTTTTTCAGATTAGTTGTGGTGTGTTATTATTGTTATTTGTTACCATATTGAACTGAATGAATGGGATTGAAATCCAAAAGGAATTTTTATTTTAGCATTTCATGAATATTTTCAAATTCCCAATTTAGTAAATTAATGTAGTTTCCTGTAATAATATTTAAATATGAATTGGTTAGCTGGTATATACTTCCCTTCTTATGGAGTAAATTATTTCTAGCTTTTATTAAAAATTGGGGATATTTGTGTCTTTCTGAAATTATCTTTCTGTCTACAGAATGATTTTTCTCCAGTTTGTAGATTGGGAGGATTATTGCTTGACCTGGAGTTTTTTTAAGCAGACATTTCTGAAGCAGTTATTAACAGAAGGTATGTACTTATACCCTTTATTAAAAGGAATTTATATTTACATTATTACTTTGTTTAACATTTTTATTTTGGTATGTATATTTTTTAATTATTAATATATTTATCAATAAGTTCATAGTGCAGAATCTTCTTGGGAGTAATGTATATTTGTATAATTGAAATATTACAATATTAAAAATTTATTTTATTAATGATTTATTTAAGTTTTATATATGTGTTTTATCATATGATATGTTTAAATATTTATTCTTCACTTCCAATACACGTAGAAAATTAATATCATTATTTTCAGGTGAACGATATTTAATGACATTCTTCACCATTCTTTCATTTGGTGAACAAGGTATGTTAGATTTTGGAAAGAATAGTTTTAGTGTTTTTAATTGTGAAATTATGAAACATATGTAGAATTTCTAGTTGTATGAGAATTGAAATTGGTGTGCAAAAAAAAAAAAAAATAAGTAAATCAGAATATTTAAAAAAAATTAAACCATATGTTTATCTTCTCATAGGATTGTATGATGTTGTGAACAATTTGGGATCCCTTGCAGCACGTTTCCTGTTCTTGCCCATTGAAGAAAGTGGATACCTTCTTTTTACCCAACTGATAAATCGAGATCAACCAATTCATGCTCAGGTGTGTTTGAAATTTCTTCTCAGGTTCCTCCTTCTGTTTAAATAATCTTTGATATAATCTTTATGAGTTTGCTTTATATAAGTTAAATACAGTCATTAAATGAGTGTTATCATGTCTGTATTAATATGTTAATTTTTTCTATATGCAATTTATTTTATTTTTATTTATTTATTTATTTTCATTTCTACCCCTTATGGTCTCTCATATTTAAAGCAATGGTAATTTTGGTGGGGAGGGGGATGGTTAATAAAGACTAAAAACTGTAAAGGCTTTCAAGAAGCTATTAATTTTAGGCAGAGAATGTATACATATAATAATATTTATAACTGAAAAGAATGTGATAAATTATAAATTTGTTGTGATTTACATTTATGATATGAGCATCATAATGTGACTAATGCATCATGAGCAACTTAATTTTTAGCAGATCAGTTTCAAAAGGGTGTGTTATACATAAGCCAATTTATTTTTTTCAAAACTGTCAAAAGCACCAAATATGCAGTTTTGGTGAAGAAATCATCATCTTTTATTTGCTTTTTTGTTATCTGTTTTAATAGTGCATATCGTAAAGTGAAACATATATAGAAAAGTGGAGATCACAAATAAATATTATTCTTTATTAGTTGTCAAGCCTGGTTGTAACATACAGTTATAATTTAGCTTGCTCATTGTTAAATGAGGCTACTGGAAATGGACTTAGTGTGCTTTTTTAAGTTATTATATGATTTCATTTAGCAGCAATTTTTCATTTAATGAAAGCATATGAATGTTTTCAAATATGAATTGTAAATTATACATAAAAATTTTCATATTTAATAAATATTAATTATCTAAATTATTGTTTTCTTGATAGTAGTATGCTTTCATAATAAATGCTCCAAAAATGAGAACTATTTAAATGGAAGTCTGTTAGTAGCTGTAATTCAAATTTTAATATAGTACATATTTTAATTGTTAATGTTTTGAAATCTTCTTTTACATAGAAAAATCTTACATTGAGTTTATCGCTTCTGGAAAACCTTTTGAAGCTGATGGTGTTATTAGGTTTGATGATACTTACTTTTGGGTATTCATACTCCCAGCTCTTACTGCTGTTGTATGGTGGCCCAATTCTTAGCACCGGAAAAGGTAAGTTAGAAAGTGATCTGTTTAATAAATTTATCATTTTTTCCCCAAAAGATGAAATAAATTGATATTAACACTTTTTATTTATTCAGAATTCCTTCCCCCTTAAATTGTTGAAATATTTTCTCATTATATGTTAATTAATGTATTTTAAAGAAACTCTGAAAAGTAGTACTGTATATCTGATTATCACCAAAGGAAGTTTATATTATTATTTTATAAATCTTTGATTTGTAATTTATTTTTGCTAGCTCTTACTCTTATGAGGTGGCATTGTGCATATGTCTTCCTTTTGGCAATTAATGGGATTACTGAGTGCTTCAAATTTGCTGTAATGAACCATTACCAAGTTAACAGGTAAATATTAATGCATTTAATATCTATTTAAATTAGTATTATACAGTCAGATTTTGATGAGGTATAACTAAAAGGACCTGGAGGGAAAACTAAAAATTTAGCAATTTAACATTAATTCCAAATTCCACAATTAGGGATTCATTTTCAACTTACACATTTTGATCCACCAAAGTTTGATTATATTTAGTGCTGTGTGTTGTTACTTATGAGTTATATGCAATGCATACTGACACTAATGTTCTAATTAAGAGCAGAATGGTATATTTATCTTCATATAGGAAAAGATTTGGATTTTTTCTGTTATAGACAGCACGTGCCAGGTTTCTTTCAAATGATGTATAGTGGAATCTCGGATCGCAAGTGCTTTTCTTCGTGAACAAATTAACGCAAAATCCACCTTGGATCCACCTTGAATTGGAAAATTATTTGTTGTCAACTTGAGTTGTAAACACTTAAGTTGACAACAAATAATTTTCGAAGGTGGTTTGAGATATTCTTTAACACTGAATTAGCAGTAAGGAACTTCTAAGAAATATCATTTTTATAATTTCCGTCACTTAACTCTTACTAATGAAGCTTGGCAACAAGTGACTTACAAAACCATGAATGCAGCCTAAAGGAAATTTTGACCTGGTTATATTGAAAGCAGCAGTTTTGAGAGCTTTGACAGTGAAAAATTTTTTGCTGTCTATCATGTCACTAGGCAAAACCATGAGCTTGGAAGTTAACAATGAAGTTGTCGAAAAGTTAGAGGACCATAAAAAGGAGCAGCTCAAGAACAATTTCAAAAGCTGCAAAAAGGGAAGGGGGAGAAAGAAAGCATAGAGTGCAGAGGAACAGGAAGAAGAAAGGGTAGCTTAGTTCTTTGATCTGTGATATTCAACAAATCCAATTTGAAGAATGCTGTATAATTCTGATGTAAAATATTTAATGTCTTGCTAATTCAAAGTATATTTTTTACTAAATTTCATCCGAATTCAATATACAAATTATGTTTTATTGTTTCTAGAAGTTAATGCATTTTGTAAGTTCATAATTCTGTTTATGAAATAGTTTGAATTTCTGGAAACAAAAGTTAATTTTTTACTGCTTTACAACTTGTAATCTTTATATAAACACAAAAGTAGCATAATAAAATATGTATAAAATAATACTTAGCATATTTTTTTTTCAATTTCAAAAAATAATTATTAATTTGTTGTCTATTATACTGTATTTTGAAAGAATAATTATTTATTAATTCTTCTGCCTTGTTTAGGTATAACAAAAAGATGATTATGTTATCTGTCATCTTTCTTGTAGCAGCTTATTGCTTTGTACATCTTTTTGGTGGTGTAGGATTTATTCTTGCCAATTGTTTAAATATGGGATTTCGTATCATTCACAGGTAAAGTTTTGATATTGCTTCTGCGAAATAATTCAAACAATAAGTTGGTATCTCAGTTTTTTGCATTTTTATTTTTGTGTATGTATAAATTATATCAGATGCTCCCCAAAAGTATGATTAAAATGTAAAAAAGAACTCATTATTGTATTATGTCCTCAAAGTACTGTAATTTCACATGTATAGTCTGCGTCATCGTATAGTCACTGCAGACACGATTTTATATAAAAAAATTTCAAAAATCGTCAGATAGTCCGCACCACCCACAGATTCCGCGGACTATACGTCCGAAATTACGTTTTTTAATACGGCAATATTAATGTATTTTATAAACAAAGAACTAAGTATAAATAGAAAAAAAGTACTTACTTACTAATATACCTTCAGAAATAAAACGCTAAATACAAATAAAAAACAGTGCTTACTAATTAATCATATATTAATTAATTCACACATTCTACTACATTCACGGAAACCTTCAAAGTCCGATTCATCGGTATCAGAATTAAACAGTTCTAAATATATTTTCAGCATCAAGAGTCACTGTCAGTGATTTCCTCGCTTTCACTAACAATCCTGGCTTTTATAAATCCCGATCGGATGGTTGACACTTTAACACTTTTCTAGGAATTACTGACCCATTCGGCAACTTCAGTGTATGAAGCGCGTCTCATATTTCCTCCTTTTGTGAAAGTATGTAAACCTTCCAACATCCAGATCTCCCAGCAAGCACGTACATGGGACTTGAAACTTTTGTTCACGCTAATATCCAGAGGTTGCAGGATTTTTGTTAAACCTCCTGGAATAACGCTAAGTTCAGCACCGATGTTTTTTTTTTTTTTTTTTTTTTTTAGCTTCCGCCTTTACACTGTCTTTTATTTATGTGTGCCCTCATGGAATCCATAATTAGTACTCTACTCCTTTGGAAATTGAAAAAGGCACCTTCTCTCTTCTTCCAAACTTCTTGAAACCAATCGAAGCATAATGTCCTCTCGTTGCACCAACCCTTTTCATTGCACCGTATTACGACGCTTCGAGGAAAATTTTCCTTGGGAATTGTTTTTCTCTTAAAGATTAAGAGCGGCTTCAACTTCAACTTTGTTGCCATCAGCACAGCACAGCAGCGAGCATCACTGTGAAATTTGGGTCTTTTCTTGACCAGTTGTTGTTATTGATATTGTTTTCACTCCACAAGTATCGACGGTGCGATTCAGTGGGCAATCAAATGTTAATGGAACTTTGTCCATATTTATAATATTTTTTAGGGAATACTTCCCTTCTGCAATAACTTTCCTTGTAAACTGAAGGAAAGAAGCTTTTTTTTTTTCATCTACAACATCGTCCGGAACAGCCTGACACATTGTCGTTCTGCTGCGAACTCTCTCAAGTTTTTACGACGCATGAAGCGGTAAACCCAATTTATTCCTCCCTTGAAATCCGTTATCTGCCATCTGCTCATCATCTCTTCTGCCATGGACTTTGCTCGGAGACGGATTTTAACTGTTGAATTTTCATTTGTGGAGCGTCAAACGGCATTTCTTTGGTCGAGAACCCATCTCAGTAAATTTTCCTCTAAAGCTGTCCATTTTACTTTTCCGTGCCGATTGGATCGCTTTCTTCCCATGCTTTTTAAAACATCCTTTTGTTTGCACCAATTTCTCACCGCTTTCTCGTCCACTTCAAAATAATGGCCCACTTCTCTATTTCCATCTTTTTCAGCTTTCTCAACTCTCACCGCTTTCTCGTCCACTTCAAAATAACGGCCTGCTTCTCTATTTCCATCTTTTTAAGCTTTCTCAACTACCTTGAGTTTAAACTCAGCAGTAAAACTCTGGCGATGTTTCTCATCAGTTATCGAAGATGAAAGACAAAAATACTGTGCAACGTGCTATCCTCGTGATAATGTGGTAATGAAATGTGACCTTCGACCCCACTCACTCAGTGTTGCCAAATCACGCTATAAGTAAACGAATCACGCTTTTTTTTGTACTCCAGGTACTTGCTACTAAGGCTCCTAAAAACCCAGCTGATGCATCAACTACTTTTCCCCCTCCTGGCAGTTGCGCTAAAGCAGTGCGAAGGATACTGGGATACAAGACTCTGGATTGCGCTAAGTGAATGCTTATATCTTAATATCCCGGCATCGCTTGATGCGCAGCCAGCCTGGATTTTAGGAGCTCTACTACTTGCTACTACTCATTTGTTCTGCACTATGCTCTATGATTTACTATCGATACGATACATACGAATGTTTTCTTGGAATCGTGCGCTTTTTTTTTTATATTTGATCATCGGCAGTTCACGACAGCGTGTTTTTAAATTTCAATTCAACAATTTTAAACCATGAACAACCAGCGAATTATACACATTGGTGGATAGTCCGCAGCTTCAAAAATTCGCATTTTAAACACAGATAGTCTGCGGACTATACGCGCGAAATTATGGTAATATCTGCATCCTTTCGAGTTAGACAGTTTTGATTTTTCATTTCACAAAAATTATTTTTCATGTATTGTGTAATTTTATTCACTGTACAGTTGATGATATCAGAGTAAAATGAATATGTTTTTTTTTTTTTTTTTTTTTAATTGTAAAAAATATTTTTAACCAAATACCAATTTAAAAGGTTGATCATTCTAAGCATCCTTTAGGCTGCTATCACACGTCATTTTGTTTTGGAAGAACAACTGTTTGGAACAATTTTTTCTGCTTTGTCACAAGAGCCAATCACCATAGATCACTTTTGAGGTTAACACAGGGGAAACTGGTTCGTCATTACAAACAAGCTGATAGCGTTTGAAGCTGATAACTAATTGGTTGAAACAACAACTTGCAATTTTTTGGAAAGGCAGGAAAAGTCACACGTCTTTCTTTCAATAGTAAACCAGGCAGAAAAATTATCCGAAACAGTTGTTCGTGTGAAACAAACGCCGTGTGATATGGGCCTTAACTATCACAAAGTGTTGCAGAAATCTTGAAAGATCGTAAGTAGATGATGATGTCTGTAAAATTGTCGTGTGTCTTTTTGCATATGTAAACAAATTTGTCAGATGAAATTAACTCAAGAAAGTTTGTGAATAAGTTTGGACCATGAATACTTTTGCCATGCAGTTGTTTTTGGTATCCAGTTACATAATAATTATCCTTCCTTTTTACTTACTGACTAAATTTAGTTTCTTGCAACTTCATCTGAAGAAAAGTGAGAACATGAAAATTTAGTTCTGTGAACAAAATTCAATTAAGACTCCATGTGATGATGAATAGCAAAGAAAAAATGTCTTTTTCCATGAGTCATTTTTAAAAAGTCAAAACAAACTTTTAACAAAAAAGGACTTTGTAAATATCTTACATTCACAAGAATAGTGCTGGAATTTTTGCTTACATTGCAATGGAAAGACGGGGGAGGGTTGACTGTCACACTTTAATAAACATTGTCAAAGATATTTTGTGAACATTTTCGAAGGACTTTCATGTGATTAGTTAAACTCATTTGCTAATTTTTAATTCAGTTTAGAATATATATATATATATATATAGTTATAGTTATCACTGTCATTGTTTGACTTTGTAAATTACTGTGTTGCCCTTACAAGGTCTCTCCAAAACATTTCCAGGCTAGATATGCTTTGTGGGGCACACTTTTACTCCTTTTACCTTGCCTTTTTACATGCTGGGTAATTAAAAATGCAACTTTCATTTCTTGAAGTAGTGCTAATAGGCATTTTTGAGCTATTTTCTTGATACCTTCTATCATGTTGAATATGCTCAACTCTACCTCAGATATTTTCTTCTGCTTCAATAAATATATCACCAGCAATTAATCAACCATATGACATTTTGAATTTGAACAAATATTGATCACATTTATCATCAAAAGGTACCTGAAGAACTATCCTTATCACAGAGTTCTTTTAGTCCTTCTCTAATAATTTTGTGCATCTCCAAATCAGATGATGGTGGTTCAGTGGGTTCACTAATTTGAACACTTTTACGTTTTTAACAATATTTTAATTACTATATACAGAGCGTATTCTTAGGCCGCCGCCTTCAACATGAACAAACTTTATTCTCTACAACTAAGCGAGCAACAGCGCCCTCTAGCCTTTTTCTTCAAATTACACAACACTCCCCACCTGAACTCGGTGGAGAGTTCATCTTTCAATAATATATTCTAGAATATTCAATTAATATTTCGACAATAAATCCTGGAGAAATGGTTAAATATAACAAACATGCATACATAATTATAAGCACATAAAATTTTACAAAACATTAAATGATACCTATCAGCAAGGTCAGGAGAATCAAACCTAAAAATACAAAATACAAACATTAGTTAAGTTCCATATTATATAACAATTGTATAGGCCTTTTTAAGGTACCAGTAGGTGTTTTAATTATGCAAGATCTTATTTTACCATCTCTGCCTGGCATTAATTCCAAAATTTTACCTATTGTCCAAAGATTTCTGGGATGTTTGTCGTCATGAATCAAGACAATATCGTTGATTTTAAACTGAGATGCGTTAGAGTGTGGAGGACAAATATTGGCAGATCTCAGATTAAAAAGATACTCTGATCTCCAACGCTTCCAAAAATGATTTAAAATATCTTGATGGTATTTATATCGTTTAATAATTGAATTTCTTGATCCAATCAAATTATTTGATGTTATTTTATTAGCAGGCAGAGATAGCAATCGTCTACCAACCAGAAAATGAGAGGGTGTTAGTGGAGAAGGTTCATTGGGATCGGTAAACACGTAGGTAATTGGTCTACAATTAATCATTGCCTCGATTTCAATGAGCACTGTTTCAAGCTCTTTCACAGTAAGGGATGATCGACCAATAATTTTTCGCAAGCTGGATTTTATGGTTCGTACCATACGCTCCCAAAACCCTCCCCACCATGGACCCCTCTCAATAATAAATTTCCAATTTATGCCTCTAGCAGAAAATAATTCTTTCACAGATGAGTCACTCAAAGTTTTTTAAAAATATGTTT